ATAATGCACCTGAGCTGGTGGCTGCCACTGGCTGTCCATCCAATAAACCTTAGGTGATCCACTAGCAGCCCAAATGAGGCTGAGCTGACAATCAAATTCAGACCTTCAGGAGGGAGGGCCTCCTTTCTCCTTCCTTTCACAGAGGACAGACACTCAGCATTGAAGAAGGAAACCACTCCAATGTTACTTTGAATATAACTGGAAGAGACTAAGTGGAGTCCAGCTCCTCAGATGGGGTTGCTATAGCAACCCTAGTTACATCCATCAGGTTTTCACAGCACCAAGTCCCAAAGGATTTTCTTTTCTAGACAAGAGCATCTAGCCCTGAGAAAGAGGAAGGTGAGGAGGCTATATACACACATATTCCCCTGCAGAAAGTGCCCTTCTAGAACTAAAATAATAAGAGCTGCGAATGTAGCTCAGTGGTAGAATGCCCTGGTTTCAATCCTATACACTACAAATAATTTTAAAATAAATAATAAAGATGAAAAACGAATTAAGCCAGGTTTGGTGTTACAGTCTTTTAATCTAAGCGACTCCAGGGGCCAGCCTCAGTAATTTATCAAGACCCTGTCTCAAAAAAATAAGAAGGAATGTGGGTTAGCTCAGTGGTAGAGTGCCCCTGGTTCAAACTGCAGTGTGTGGAAGGGAGGGGGAGGGAGAAAAGCCCCCTGCAAACTACCCCATCTTGGGTGAACTTAGTAGAGCAATTCACTATCTCCCTTGTGATGTGTTAATGGCAGTTCAATCCCCCCTCTCGCCAGGTGCTTTCACAGACATTATTTAATCTACAACAAACTTACGAGGCGGGCATTGCTACCTCAGTTTGTATATGCGGGAAAACATGGTTAGTTAATTTTCCCCAAGGCGTGTCAGAAATTGGAACTCAAGTCGGTGATTCCCAAATACCGTCCCTTTATTCAGTAAGCCCACTGTTTATCAGTTGAGAACTGAGTGGCTTTAGTCATGATGGGAGGTCAGAAAAGGGAGCTATCAGGATTGTATGGTCCTGTAAATTGGTCAAGAAGTATGGAGGCAGGTGAGGACTTATATTTGGCTCACTGGACAGAATTCAAAGCTTGCACCTGTATCTGGTCCTGTCAAAAGTTTCTTCTGTCCGCAGGGAACAGCTGCCGGAAGCCCCACTTACCTTTCAGGAAGCGGAAGAGGCAGGTTAGGTGATGTTGGAGAGGGAGGTGGAGCAGGAAAGTTAAGCCAGACATCAAAGTCTGAAGCTTTTTCCTACAGTTGCGAAATTGAAAGTGGTCGTAAACTGGGGAGCAGACAAAAAACAAGGGAATGGAAATGCTTTTCCACAAGAATATTTTTGTTTTTTGGTACTGGGGATTGGACCCAGTCCAATGTATTTCAGTCCTACCACTGAACTACATCCCTACACCTCTGTTTTTTGTTTTGAGACAGGGGCTCACCAAGCTGCTGAGGTTCGCTTCAGTCTTGCACTTGCGATCTTCCTGCCTCAGCCTCCTGAGTAGCTGGGATTAGAGGACATGTTTATTCAATGCGTGCCAAACCACACACACCTGCTTCGCAGACTAGGGAGAGCTGTTGCTTTAAGAAGCTGGAGTCCTCAGCATCACGTGATCTCCGGCGTCCTGCGTCCCGCGCCGCGCTTCCTTACAGGCTAATCACGTGGCTGGAAGGCTCCCGGAGGGCGGGAACTTCTCGAGACGGCTCGCGATTGGCTGGGCTCGTGGAGGGTGGTGCCGGGGCGCCGAGAGAGGGAATTAGTGCGAGCCGGGTGAGTGGGAGCTGCCGCCACAGCCCACGCCTCGGTAACTGCCCTCGCCACGCGAAGTTCTCAGGTGAGCTCGCCTGGCCGAGTCCAAGGGTTCCCCGTCGCTCCGCGGGCTGCTGCCTACAGGTGCTGGGGCCCGCCCACTTTCCTGTACACGTGATCCAAGTTCGTGAACCTTGACCTCCTACCCCACCCCAAGCCCTCAGTGCCTGGGGTGAGGCGGGCTGGGTGGGAGGACGGATATCGGCTGGAACCTGGAGGTCAGTGTCCCCGCCTCCTACCAGAGTAACTCTTGGCTGGGGATGGGCAGGAGAGGAGGCTGAGGAGCGAAAGACCTCGGTCACAGGCCAGATCTTGCGGGGTCCCAAAAGGGAAACGCCGGCAAGGCAAGACTTAGTGCTCCCATTTTACAGATGTGGAAACTGATTGGAGGATCGAGGGTCGCCGAGGGGTGGGTCTCCAACACCAGTTTCTTTGGGTTGCGAATCTGGGTTTTCTTCCCCACACAAGCTGGCAGCACTTGAGTGCAGTGTTGTGGAATGATTAGGAAAAAGGGTGTGAATCCTTGCTACCCACTAGCTAGCGCTCACTGGATCATCTTGGGTAAGCCCTGTAACGTTAAGCTCTCTAAGGTTTGATCACCTTGGCTGCGAGATAACATATATAACATGTATATCATTGTCAAGAAGGATCCAATAAGGTAATCCATACTTAGTGTTTACTCAGTGCTTCAGGCAATTTATGTGCTTAGTAAAATAGCCATTCTTTCTTCCTTCTTTCAGCAAGTGTTTATTGAAGGCCTAGTATGTGGTGACATTGCTGGATACTTGGGATGCAAAGGTGAGCAAACAGACATGGTCCTGGCTGCCATGGAGCTTACGTAGTTTAGTGGGTAGGTAGGTGTTAATTAAAAAGTCACACAAATGTCTACAAACTTTTTTTGGAAGGGAGGCGGTGCCTGGATTGAACTCAGGGTGCATAACCACTGAGCCATGTCCCCAGCCTTTTTTTGTTTTAATATCTTTATTTTGTTTATTTTTATGTGGTGCTAAGGATCGAACCTAGTGCCTCACTTGTGCCAGGCAAATAAGTGCTCTGCCAATGAGATGAACCACAGCCCCAGCCCCATCCCTGTCCCCAGCCCTTTTTATTTTTAAGTTAGAGACAGGGTTTGAGATTACAGGCATGAGCTACCATACCTGGCTTCTAGAAACTTTTATAACTGTCTTGAAGACAGAGTACAGGAACGTGTAGGAAATCTGGGAAAACTTCCTGGAGAAAGTAACATTTGAACTGAGATCTAAAGGAATGAGTAGGAGTTCACTAGACAAAGAGGTCAGGGTGAAAGATGAGGAGACTTCAAAGCAGAATAACATTCAAAGGTCCTGAAATAAAATGTATTGAGGAAGTAAAAGAGGGATATGGGTGGGAATGAAGAATACAAAAGAAAAAACTTGAATAAGTGTAGGCAGGTATATGCAGACTCTGGGGCATGGGCCAGATATTTTCTTTTCTTTTTTTTTTAGAATTTTAATATTTATTTTTTAGTTCTCGGCGGACACAACATCTTTGTTGGTATGTGGTGCTGAGGATCGAACCCGGGCCGCACGCATGCATGCCAGGCGAGCGCGCTACCGCTTGAGCCACATCCCCAGCTCCCAGATATTTTCTTTATTTCAAAAGCAATTGAGAGCCATCGAGAAGAGAGCTATGGAAGCCAAGTAGGAAGCTCATTGCACTTAGGGATAAAGAACAAGAGTCTTGGGGCTGGGGTTGTGGTTCAGTGGTAGAGCACTTGCCTAGCATGTGTGAGGCACTGGGTTCAATTCTCAGCACCACATATAAATAAATAAAGGTAAATCAACAACAACAAAATATAAAAAGAGAACCAGAGAGTAGTGGGAGCAGTGTCTGGGTGGATCACCTTGGAACCAGGCTTTGCTGCCTGAGGTACTGTTGTCTCACTTTGAATTGTGTGTGCGTCTACCTTCCAGCTGCAGTGTGCATTTTTGGAGTGAGCCGTCATGTCTGTTTTTGTTAGGTTCTTATTCTGCCATATCCTGTGAACACAACAGGTTCCTGCATCTAGGCCTTGCAGCCAAAATGGGGAAGACCAGACACATGGGCAAAAAGCCCAACTTCTAAAAGCCTGACTGGCCCAGATGTCATATGGTACTGAAGATCCCAGAGACTGGGTTTGTCTTACCAAGAGGAGAAGGAGGGAAGTCAGTGGGAGCAAAAGCCTGGTAGAAGGGCCTGAGGCAAGGTGGGAAGACACTAGCCTGGTTTACTAGAGGAGGGATCAGTGTGAACAGATGTGAGGATTTGGGACCAAAAGTAATATGTCAAACCAGGAAGTTTGGTCTTTTTTCATAAGCAATGGAGGAACATTAGAGATATATTTTAGCAATGCAGTGTGAGGATTAACGTCTTTTCATAAAAATTTAGTTGATGGTGGGTGTAGTAAGAATGAAAAGAGGACATGAAATTTTTGTTTGTAGTTAATGATGAGATTGTTCATTGGTGTAGTGTTCCCTTTGTGGTAGTGGTTCTTTTGTGTGTGTGTGTGTGTGTAGGGGTGGAAACCAGGGCCTTTTGCATGCTAAGCAGGCATTCTACCACTAAATTACATCTGCAGCCCTGGAGTTATGTTCTAGTTCCTGATTTTCTCAGATATCATCTCATTTTATCTTCATAGTAAGTTAGGGCACAGTAAGTTAGGGCAGAGATTATTGCCCCTATTTGGAATACCAATGCTCGGACTGATGAAGGTCCTAGCCAGGTTCACATATTAAATGACAGACCACAATTATGTGGACCCAAAGGCCAGGCACTTTTCCCTAGCTTCCCTGTTGTCTGCTCACTGACCTGCCTGTTTGCTTCCCTAAAACTCATTTTCCTCATCTGGGTGTTTTGAGCTCTCTCTTCAGGGATTGTGGTGTAAGAGCAGCAAGACTGGTTGAGAGGTCTTGACTTGTCCTCCTAGATTCTCAGGCCTTCTGGGGGCAGCGTTTAAAATCTTCCGTCTTAATCCCAGCTCTACTGGGGCCATGTCAGAGCGAGAAGAGCGGCGATTTGTGGAGATCCCTCGGGAGTCAGTCCGCCTCATGGCAGAGAGTACAGGACTGGAGTTGAGTGACGAAGTGGCAGCCCTTCTCGCTGAGGATGTGTGCTACCGTCTCAGAGAAGCCACACAGGTGCCTCCTTCAGTACCCAATCCCCTGCTGTCCTTGTTCCTTTCCTCACCTGTTCCTACTGTGATTTACTTAGCACCTGCATGTTGGGCACCTCCCTTTGCTTTGAGGCTCTGAGGTTGTCCTTGCCCTTGTCAGAGCTTGCATCTAGCCAGCCAGGCTGCCAGCATATGAAATGCTCATCAGGCATTTTCTAGTACTTCTCATAACAGCCCCATAGGCAGAGTGGCAATACTGTCACATTCTGCGTGTGAGATGTGACACCAGATGTATTGTTGTGTAGGAATTGGGCTGGAATGCGGACTCTGATCACTGGTGTGATGTCTCCTTTGCCTCTTCCCCAGTGTAGTTCATTTCGCTTGGGGGCTTCCACACCGGCTCCCTGTCTCCTGACTCTGGCTTCTGTTTCTGCCCTCCCAGAACAGCTCTCAGTTCATGAAGCACACGAAACGGAGGAAGCTGACTGTTGAGGATTTCAACAGGGCCCTCAGATGGAGCAGTGTGGAGGTGAGAGGGGTGCAGGCTACAGAGGGCTCATGTAGCATGAGCATGAACTCACTTCCATGTTCAGCTCAGAGTTAATGATATGATGAGACATGAAGACCAAACACGGCCACAACAGGACAAATGCCAGGTGCTGGGTCCAGACCATAGTAGTATGAGTTCTGAATAGAGTAGAGAGGAGGTCACTGGGGACCTCAAGGGTAGGAAAGGCTTCTTGGAAGAGATGGGACATGAACTAAGCCTTATGGAGGGCAAAGAACTTGAATGTAATCCTGAAGAAAAACAGGCATGCTGGGTAAAGGAGGAACTGAGCATTTGTGTGGTGTTAGCATGTTTTTGTATATTGTTCTGGGGCAGGGTGTTGAGAGATTAGTGTGACTAGGAGAGAGTAGTGAGTGTTCAGAGTTGGGTAAGTGCAAATGAGAGGCCCAGGAGTTTAGGGGTGGGGCTCAAAACCTCTACAGCTCTGAGGAGGGGGCTTATTTACCCCTTGACCCAGCAAGCCATGGATGCCCCAGCCAAATTCCTAGCAGTGGCTCTGAGCCCCAGATTTCCTCTGCTTCTCTTGGGAACCTCTAGACTTCTCTCAGACATAGGTTCCCTGTCTTTAGCAGTAGTGCCCCTTCATGGTACCTGTTTCCTCCCTAGATTCAGGCTGCTCTCTAATCCCCTTTCCTTAGGCTGTGTGTGGTTATGGGTCTCAGGAGGCACTGCCTCTGCGCCCTGCCAGGGAGGGTGAACTCTACTTTCCTGAGGACCGAGAGGTGAACCTGGTGGAGCTGGCCCTGGCTACCAACATCCCCAAAGGCTGTGCTGAGACAGCTGTCAGAGGTGGCTTCTGGGGTCCTGCATGGGGTGGGGACAGCAGGTGGGTGGTCAGCAGTGGTGTTGGACTGACTGGTGAATGGGGTAGAATTTGGAGATGTAGGTGTTGTGATGAGGGGGAAAATCCCAGCCTGACATCTCTTTCTGACCTGGTTCTAGTTCATGTTTCCTACCTGGATGGCAAAGGGAACCTGGCACCTCAAGGATCAGGTAAGGTATAAAAACTTTCTTCTCTTAGATGCTGAGGGTAGGGCCTCTGTGCCTCTATCTGCATCTGACAAGCATTTCGTGGTGCCTACCTTGCACTGTGTTCTGAGCAGGTACTGATCCCTGCTCAGAGGGCTGAGTTGGAGGTGGGATCTCAGACCCGTAACCAGTCATGATGCAGTATGTTGGAGGCCAGAACAGAAATCTAGGCAGCAAGCTGGGGTCTCTGAGGTGAAGTGTCTCACTTCAGTGGATGCTGAACAGAGCTCCACAGAGCCTGAGACTCATCAGTATGGCACTCGAGGACTGAGCAGGAATGCCTGGTAGAGAGCACTTAGGAGAGAGCGGACAGAACACTGAGGTGTGCGGTGCCTGCATGGCCAGGGTGGAGCAGGCTGCTGATCACAGCTGAAGTCTCCGCACTGTGGCTCTTCTGTCTGAATGGGCTTCTTGGGGATGTGTCAGTGGTGGGTGTGGGGGAGCAGGCTGCAGGAGTAGTTTGGGCCAGCTCTCCATCCAACCACTTCCTGCCCACCCCCTTGTAGTGCCCAGTGCGGTATCTTCACTGACGGATGATCTGCTCAAGTACTATCAGCAAGTGACACGGGCTGTGCTAGGGGATGATCCACAGCTGATGAAGGTGAGTGTTTCCAAGTTGGAGCTCAAAGTCAGGCTTATTCATCTATCTATCTATATTTATTTTTTAATTATTGATGGACACAATATTTTTATTTTACTTATTTTTATGTGGTGCTGAGGATCCAACCCAGTGCCTCACATGTGTTGAAGCAAACACAACTCAGCCCTCAAAGTCGGACTCTTAAATCTCATGAAATAATTTCAGTTGCATATTTCCTGGCTTCTTGAGACCAACTGAGCAGTGTGGGTGGAAGTTGTCCTCAGGGTGGGTATAGTTCTCTGAGGCAGCCTTCCTGTCACTCCCAGTCCCTTCATCCTTTAGCAGGTTCTGTTGTTCCCTGGGTAAGGATTAGCTAGATGGGGCCTGGAGAGACTCCCTGACATCTTCTTCTAGAGCCCATTATTTGTGGTGTCTGTTGATTTTGCCAGGACTTGGACAGGAAAGGAGAAGAGTAAATAGAAGAGGCCAGGATTGTGTGCCTGGCCATACCTGCTTTGCAGCACTTAGTCCCTGGGCCTCATAGCATCCCATGCCTCTGGGCTCCACAGGGCCTGCTGAACACCTGTCATCTGTCATCTTCTGTGCACAGTCAGGTGAAACTGAGTTCTCATCTGACTGTGGATAGAAGGTGGTTTGCTCAGTTTTTTCCATACTGGCGGTTTAACCCAGGGCCTTGCGCATGTTAAGAAGTGTTCTACCACTGATCTGCATCCCTAGCCCATTTTTAAAATTAATTAATTAATTAATTTGGTACTAGGGATTGAACTCAGGGGCACTTAACCAGCCACATCCCCAGCTCTCTTTAAATATGTAATTTAGAGACAGGGCCTCACTGAGTTGCTGAGGCCTCAGCCTCCCGGACCACTGGGATTACAGGGATAACACTGCGTCCAGCCCTAGCCCATTTTATTTTGAGACAGAGTTTTACTAGATTATCACCATCTATTCTCGCTGGTGACCTATGCTGGGTTCACTAATCTGACTATTCCAATAACTTAAGAAAATGGCAAAGAAAGCACGCAAACAGAGGTACCTTTTCAAAATCCAGGAGGGCTCTCCGACCTTAGGGGTCCATGGAAAGAGAGAGAACCACTGGAATTCTTTATTTTTATATAGGGGACACACAATGGGAGGTTCCATGGAATATTCTATCCCATAAAGAGCAAAGGGATAGGATTACAAAGGAACAGGTGAGTGTAACTCAACCCCACTGGGTAATTCCTATTCCTAGAACGATGCCTCATTACCTGAGCAGCGGTAAAGCCCAAGTTATTGCAGGCCACAATAATTGTTCAGTATTTCTTGCTCAGAACTAAAGGGCATATGTCGCATTCCTCACGACTGAAACACTCAGGGGTACTCCAGGGGAACTGGGCTCCACAAAATAACCACACAAAAGACAGAGATACCTTTTTCTTTGTGGTCCTGGGACGGTTCCTCTAACCTTAAGGGTCCGCAGAAAGAGAGTGAGTGCTTGCTGACCCCTTTTATTGAGGAGAAGCTATTCAAATGAAGCAAGGGTCAGGTTTCAGGGGTTTGAGTCTAGCTTTATGATGTCTGCTGTCAGCAGGTTGACTGACAACTAGGAAGGCCACACCCAAAGGCAGAGCAAAAGAAGAGGACACACAAAGGGCGTTTCCACTGGAAAATTCTATCCCAAACAGGGCAAAGGGGTAATTTCACAAAGGAACAGGTGAGCGTAGCTCAACCCATGGGGCTGCAGGAAGGCATGCCTACACATGAAGACACATTTGTTAACATTTTTACTACTCTCAAAAGATTGGGGCTACCATCTACATCCACTTGAAAGTGGCCAGATTGGGCTGGGATTGTAGCTCAGTTGGTAGAGCGCTTGCCTAATATGTATGAGGCACTGGGTTCCATCCTCAGCACTACATAAATACAAATAAATAAAATAAAGGTATTTAAAAAAAATAAAAAGAAAGAAAGTGGCCAGATCACTGGAAGTGACCAACAGTGCCTCAAACCAATCTGGAGAGGAAAATGCTGGTCACATGATGTGGCGGCCTCCCAGCAGGCATGTATTTCCAGAGTGCTCCTGACACTAAATTGCTGATACTGGCCTGTGATCCTCTTGCCTCTGCCTCCGAGTTGCTGGTATTATGGGTGTGGGCTGCCTCGTCAAGTTTATGTGAAGTGTTTTATATCCTTCATGTTTTCATGTGTCTGGCTACAGATATTTCCTTTGCTAAACTAGGAATAGTGCTATCATTCATTCATTCTTTTTTTTTTTTTTTGAGAGAGAATTTTTTAATATTTATTTTTTAGTTCTCGGC